CTAAGCCAAGGTAATAAGAGATCCTTGTATTAACTTTACCCAAATATCTTCCTAGCTACAAAATGGAAGAGTATTCGCTACTGGCAGAATGAAGCCTTTCATTGCTAGTGTCTGCATTTTCCAGCTCTGGTAAACTGGGGGGTGGGAGATACTTGGACGTATTCCCTGGTATAATTGTATTTTATTGGAAGAGAAAGTGCTTGATTTGAGTAAAATGTGGTCAGTCAGAAACTGATTTTGCCAGAGTAGGAAAAAATTCAGTGTTAAATGATACTCTGATCCCCATGGACAATTTGAGATAAAGACTTTAACTTCTGGAGATGTAAGAAGGGGCCAATGGGCCTTATGGCTGAGGTTTTTATGTTTCTTTAACCTTGCATTAATGCAAGAGCTAAGGCATGTTTTCTTATGTATGTTTTTTTTCTTTACTGAGATATTCTGACTGTACCTTAAAAAGGATATTAGGCAAAAAGGTAGATTGGCCAACTTGATAATTTGAAGGCATCAAAGTAATATAAGCAGTGAAATGAAAAGAGTAGTGCCTTTAAATATTTGTAGTCCTAGTTCAGTCCAGATTTAGGAATAAACAATGGCCTTTGGAAGGTTATTTGCCATCTCGAGCCTCAATTCTTCATCTGAAAATTTAAGAAAGTGAACGAAATCAGCGATTCTCTTTGTCTGTGTCTTCCCCCACACTCATGAAGTTTGTAAACTGGAGCCACGTGAATTTTCAGTGGCCTGACTTTAATTATATCCCTTTCTTTCCTTCTCAGAAAGGCATATTAGAAGGCATGCAAGAGAAAGGAGCTGTATTTTCACACACACAAAAAAAACCTTGCAGTGATCCCACTGATGTGAAAAACCTCACAAATTATTTCCCAATTTATTCTTATTAACAATAACAATAATAATGTATTAATAAAAGTTTACTTGAAACCCTCCTCACGGTTGCCACATACCCATATGTGATATAAATTATTGATAGAGACAGGAGGCAGCCAAGGGCCCCCCACCCCGCAACCCCCAGCGAAACCCCACATTCAAGCCTAAAACAGCCTGTAGGCTGAAAAACAGGACTGCCTGTCCTGGATGAGACCCGCCCTTTCCCCTCACTCCCCCGACTGATTCTTTCTGAACAATGCCCACCTTCACACTGGGAGGACAGGGTGGGGCCTTGGGGAAGTTCGCACTGCACCGTTTGGAGGTGGGAGGAGCCCGGCCTCTCCTGTTCCTACGTGGTAACCTGGTGTTCAGTCTGTGAGATGAGGGCCTGTTAACAGGAACCCCTCTGGCTCTGCTGAGGTTTTTCCTTTTCACCCAATAAATTCCGCTCCCCCTCACCCTTCAAAGTGTCTGTGAGTCTAACTTTCCCTGGTCGTGTGACAAGAACTCAGTTTTTTCTACAACATTATTATTGATCACTGAATGACTAGTCGTTTCTAAGATACCTTAGATCATTAATAGTCTAAAATTGTGAAACTTCTCCTTATCTGAAAATTGAAGAATTCAGATAAAGGCTAACTTTCTGCAGACCTACTATTAAAGGTCTGGAAACCTGAAACTGTCAAAAATCAGTGGCTTATTTTATCTAAGTTAAATTACTAAATTACTAAAAATAAACTAGGAAACAAATTCCACTGTTGGCCAAGGAAAATATCATGACCTCATTCAACTTTTGGTCCCATCTCTTATATGATTTTCTGAAGTGAAGTGATTTTTTTTTTTTTTTTTTGAGACAGGGTCTTTACTCTGTCACCCAGGCTGGAGTGCATTGGTGCAATCGCGGCTCACTGCAACCTCCGCCTCCCAGGTTCAAGTGATTCTTCTGCTTCAACCTCCTGAGTAGCTGGGACTACAGGTGCATGCCACCAGGCCCAGCTTTTTTTTTTTTTTTTTTTTTTTTTTTGTATTTTTATTAGAGACAGGGTTTCGCCATGCTAGCCAAACTGGTCTCGAACTCCTGACCTCAGGTGATCCACCCACCTCGGCCTCCCAAAGTGCGGGGATTACAGGCGTAAGCCACTGCGCCCAGCTGAAGTGATGTTTTTAAAAGGCATTCATTTTAAGTTTTGACATTGTGAATAATCAAAGTGCACTGTTTTCTCTCCTGTATGCAAGAACATGAATGTCTTATAATCACGTTTTCTGGATGTCCACGTGCGTATGGATGGGCAAGTGTGAGAGACGGGGTTTCATAATGAGTTATGTGAGCCCTTATAGAAGTCTGGAATGAAATACCTGAGAACTCGTCACCTCTGGCTCCAATCCATAACCTCCACACAATTGGGTGGCTTAGCTCAATATTCTCTGAAGAAATTTCTATTTGTGAGATGAAATTGAACTGCACTTACAAATTAGTCTTTTCTGATAAAGAGATTTTTTTTTTTTTTAGTGGTTTCTTAAAAAGCTCTAAATGGTTTCCCTAACAGGCAACAAATCACAGGACATTCTCCATTATCCAAACACAGCAAGGCTTTAGAGCCTTGTTTACGACATGGAAAGCCTGTGAATTGGGTGTTGTCAGCAGTCTTGGTTTCTGATCCTATCGATTTTGTTAAAAAAATTTAACTGACTAAAAGTGATTGATCCAGGGGCGGTGTGGATGGTTTCAGCCTCATTTAAGCTATTATTTTATCATGTCCATGGCGATATGACTGCTCACTTCAAAACTGCGATTCCTATTTTGTGGCACTGTCAAACTCTAACCACATATTTCCTATTACTCTGGAGTAGTAAACTCATGTGATATGTTACATAATAAGGGCCCTCCACCTTTCCCAAGAGATGTGGGAGAAAAAAATCACTTGAATCCCTGTGAAAGGCTGAAAATCAAAGTAAAAATACAGAACAGGCAGAGCTGACAGGGAGTTTTTCTCTGTTGTTGAGGGCTTTGTCAAAGGTTATAGGTCTTGTTGGAGATGAGAAACTGAATTTATCTAGCTGACAGGTAGTGCAACTAACCAATAGAGTAGGAAAGAAAAATACCCATGCCACGTGAGAAGGCATGTCGAAACCATGTCAACGTTATCTCATTTTTCAATTGAGATTCACGCTACTGAGTTTCTAACAACATGGGTGACTCGAGGCTTTCACACTTTCAAATAGAAAGTTTGGATTTGGGCTGATTTAGCCATACTTTTGCGCCAGCCCCCATTCACTGTGAGAAATAGCTCGCCAGGATTTTCAGAAATGTAGTCTGGCTACTAGATATAGACAGTAGTGTATCAGTAAATACAAAAAAAAAAAAAAGTCCAACTATTTTGAAGAGGTTTTACTTGCAAAATTTAATCCGTAATAATTGTTTTAAAAATCAATTATCACTATAATTATCAAAGAACAGTATAAGTTTAAGTTCCAGGCTTTGGTTATTCATTCAGTTGGGTGTTTTCAACTCAGTGATGATTCCTTGTTAAAAACTATAGAATAAAATTTCATCATCTTTTTTATCTGATGTAACTCAGTGTAATGGAATACTAAAATAAATAATGAACATTGGTCTGTCACTTTTTAGGTTTCATATACATTATCTCACTGATTATCACTAGACTATGAATTCATGTAGCTGGAGTGAAGTGTGTTTTTACGTTATTTACCACTGTATCTCCAACTCCTTGATAGGGCATGGCACAAAGTAGATGTTCAATTAATATTTGTTGAATGAATGATTGAACCACCCTGTAATGTAGGCAGAACAGGTATTATCCTTTTTTCCATTTTATAGGTGAAACAACATTGCAGAAAAGTTTAGTGACTTGTTCAACGCCATATAGCCAGCAAGGGTGGTGCTAGGCCTTGAACCTGGTTCTTTAGACTTTTCCCCAGGTTGTTATGTGATCTAACTCTGGCACTAATTGGTCAACTCCATAATCATTCTGGGCTTTTTTTTAACTTATACTTAAGAGAAGTGAAACAATTTCAATTGAATATTTGAGCTGTCTAAGAAATAAAAATCACAATTCCTCCCAAAATAAAATGAGAGGGCATTATTTCATGGTTCTGAGGTCTCAACTAGGTCTAATATTATGGGCTTAATTTACAATATTATTTACAGTATCATTCTGACTTCTGAGAGTCTTATATTCACTAAAGAAGTAGTGCTAATGGTGGAGTCCAGAGAACCTAGAACTGTCAGCTGGTCCAGAGAAGGGATGCCCAGGGCCACTATCACAGGTCCACTTCCTAATAATAAAAGAAAACTTCAGACCAAAAACTTCTTCCTTAAGGAAGTCAGGGAGGTTGTTTTAGGTTATAAAGAGGCTCTGAAGAAATTCTATTTCATTATTAACGTGAAACTGTTCTAGAAGATTTCTGGTAGTGATGTCTCCACCTAATGGCCTTGTTTACCCAGCTAACTCATGTCCCCTGTTCCCCTCCCCTTTCCCTTCCCCACCGACACACCATGCCGTCTTCAACCACATGCGCAATGGTTGTAAGCAGGATGTCAAGTTTTATAATGAATTCACTGGAGACAGTCTGCTTTACACACGCCAGCAAGAATTTCAGGGATGGTTTTCAAACTTGTATTTTATTTAAAAATGTCATTATCCCCATCACATATAAGACTTCTTTGCAGCAGCTTTGTCGGTATTTATTAGTTGCTACTTGGAGTCTGTTTTTTCAAAGGAATGGATTAGTCTCAACACCTTAGAGTGATATATTGTTTTCCAGCAAGCCCAAATACAAGCTGAAGACCCTGTGTAAATTACTTCCCCTAATTTCCTTCAGCCACTTGCTTGTTTAGAATGTACACAAAGGAAAGATGTCAAGAACGTTTCGTCTGTTATACCCGCCATGGGCGGCTTCCCCTACAGCACACGGTGAAATCTGATTACAGAAGGACTGAGAAATGAAAGTTCCGCTGGAATTAGAGGCAGCTGTCTCAGATGAGAGTAAAGCAGAGCGTGGCACTACACTCTACAGAAAGAGGCCTTACTGCAGAATATAATTTTATGCGTCACCATGATTCCTAAATCAAACCCAAATCTCTGACCATCACTTACCGAAAATTTCGAACCACGAAGCTGTGACCATTTCTAAAAGCTGCATTGTTCAACAGGATCCTCAGATTAAACAGCATCTTCTTTTAACAGTGAAAGGATGATTCTACGCTCTTGAAAACTCCACAGCAAGTCAGCCAGCGGGGGCCACCTAAAAACTAAGAAATGTGTTCAGTTGCAGTGAGGGAGCAAAGGTAATATCAGCCTTCAGCTTCCTTATCAAAGTCCCCTGGTTAGATATACTGCAGGGCAGGGTGCAGGAGCATTTGAACTTTATGCCAAACTCCACCACTGTGTATTTTTTTTTTTTTTTTTGGAAGAAATCCTGACTCTTTTATTGCCTGGCCTCCTCATTTTTCATAATATATTTATACTGTCACATGCATGTACAAAATCAATTGACAAGTACTCACTGAGCATATAATATATGCAAGGCACTGCAGTACTGGCTGCTGTGAAGATGCGTAGAAGTAACTCACTCAGAAAATGCAAACTGGCATTGCAAAAACACAGATGTAGATGTGACAGCCCTGAGTAGTACTATTTCCATTTATTTCACTTTTCTATCTCTAATTGCCAGTCTTTCCACAAAAACAAATACAAGTGCCCTGGAAGCTATTTTGGGGGTACAAGAAGATAGAGAAGGTATAGTAAAAATATCTCACTCCTGGAGCTCCCTTTGTGCCTTGCACATAAGTCTTCAATAAAGAAATAATTGCTGGCCAGGCGTGGTGGCTCATGCCTATAATCCCAACACTTTGGGAGGCTGAGGTAGGCGGATCACTTGAGCCCAGGAGTTTGAGACCAGCCTGACCAACATAGTGAATCCCCGTCTCCACTAAAAATACAAAAATTAGCTAGGCATGGTGGTACACACCTGTAATCCCAGCTATTTGGGAGGCTGAGGCATGAGAGTTGCTTGAACCCAGGAGACAGAGGTTGCAGTGAGCCCAGATTACACCACTGTACTCCAGCCTGGGTGACAGAGTGAGACTCTGTCTCAAAAAAAGACAGAAAGAAAAAGAAAAGAAATAGTTGCCTATTGATTCCAACAGGAGCCCACAGTCAGTACAAGTGATAAGTGGGGATACCATATACTCCTCCCCTAGCAGCCCGTTCAGATCACTAGGGGGCCATTTGCAACTTCACATTTATTCATTCATTTATCCTCAGTTATAAATCAGATGATTCAAAGTCAATTCTGTATCAGATACCGGGCTGCACTGAAGTTTCAGAGAGGGAAGATGACATCACCTTTGCAGAGTTCACAGTTCAGTAAAGGTGGTATGATTTATAAACAAATATCCATAATACAAGCCTGTAGGCGAGGTCCAGACAAAATTGTCCAGCTTCATCGAAGCGGGAACCCTCTAAGGTAGGAAGGGTAGGAGGAAGGAGAGAAGGGGTAGGGGTAGGGCTGCCTCTTCTGGTCAATTTATATGACTTTAGCAAACCCAGGTAAATATTTGCCAGAAGTTTGTGGGATTCCAAAAAGTGTTAATTAAAAACCAACTATGGTCACCTCAGGAGCCGAGATGTTTGTGATGTCATAATTAATACTAGTAGACAAATAAATATTGACACCATTTCCTATGATGTGAGATGAAGTGAGGGGAAAGACTGACATTTCCAAACCTCTACCAAATCTTCCGTTCTGGAAAGGATATTCCAGGCAGAAGCAACTGCTTGCAAAGGCACAGAGGTGAGAAGGGAGAGAGTGACTTTGAAAACATAATAAAGCATCTCTGAAGAGGCAAACAAGGCCAGTTATTGAATAGATTTCAGAGAGCAAAAGTGCTCCACATAATAGAGGAGTGAAATAGAATGTTTGCATGGAGCCTGAGGGAGATGAGGCCAAACCACAGGCTGATATAAAGCCCACAGCTTGACCCCGTACCTTCACTGAACTGTGCTAGTCATACACACAACTCATATTAGTAATGCTTGGGGAGAAATCAAGAAGTGTCTGCAGTTCCATGCTAGAGAGTGCAGGCAGCATTTTGAGATGCCAAAGCAATTCACAAACTCTCCTAATGCTACGGATGCAGGAGCTCAAAGCCAGAGGGAACTAAGAAAAAGTTAAGACACCAATAACTCTTAGAGAAATTGGAAAAGGGGAGCTGCACCACAAGTGGGATGAAGTTAAAAGCAATTTCACTGAATCTCAAAAGGCAGGACATCTCAATGGACTTGTTGAGGGGTAGATTTCAACTACCCATCTTCTGCTGGTTGTGTCATATGTGGAGTCTGTGTTACTTTACAGGCTTTGATGTTCATCCTCAGAATTCATCCAGGGGCTCTTGTTGACCCCATGATTCCTCTAATTCAATTTTAACTTTCTTGTTTGGCTACCTATCTAGTTCTCTTTGTTCACCTAGACTTTCATTCATCCAGTTTTCTCTGCCACCATCAACAATTGTGCAGCCATCATAAGCCAATCCTCTGTGCTGTGTGGGTTCTGAGAGACAGAGTGATAAAACAGGAATGATGAGTTCCTTCCAATATTCACCATTTGGAATGACTCCGGAATACAATTTCTGTCTCTGCTGTCTGACCCCAAACATCTTAACCAGGGGGAGGGGCTTGTTACCTGCTCCCTTGCTTCAAGCCACAGGAGACCTCCAGCTTGACTTGACGGTCATCCAACTTGTATCATCAGGGGGTGGGGATTAGATGGGATTCCTGAAAAAGGTGGCACTGATTTTTGATGAATTGCAAGAATCAGAAAATAGTCAAAACTAGAGGGAGCTACAAAAGACATTGTAGCAAAAAAAGGAACCTGTGAGTAGACCCAAAGGAAGGAACAAATAGAGTGTGTAGGGTAATAACAAATGATACATAACTGGAAAAATACATTCCATCATTGGCCACTGAAATGAAGCCCCACCACCACCAAGCATGCTATGAAAACAAAAAACCATGAGTGTCTGTATCTTGTTTATATCCCCTTGGCATTCGGTCTTCCCCTACACACCTGCTGCTTCTTAATGCAAATACCCACTGCTGTTTTCTTGAGGATAAACTTCTCATATTCCTCACTCTTCATGTGGGTGGCTTAGTCCATTTTGTGTTGCTGTAATAAAATACCACAGACTGGGTAATTTATAAAGAAAAGTTGATTTGGCTTACAGTTCTGGAGCTGGGAAGTCCAACAGAATGGTTCTGGCGTCTGCAGAGGGTCTTTGCGCATTGCCGTCCCATGTCAGAAGGTAGAAGGGCAAGAGAGGGTGAGAGTGACAGAGAGGATTGAACTTGCTTTTATAACAACCTATTCTCTCGATAACAAACCCACTCCTGTGTTAACCACATTAATCTATTCATGAGGACAGAGCCTTCATGTTCTAAATATCTCTTAACAGTCCCACCTCTTACTACCATCACAATGCCACTTAAATTTCAACATAAGCTTTTCAGGTGACATTCAAACCATAGCAGTGGCAACTATGAAGCATATTCTACATGCTCCCCAAAAGGTCCCCCGTGGAATTGAACCTCAATTGCCCACAGTAATAACCTGCTCATCAATCTACCCTGTATTAGCCACCTTCCCTTCCGTGTCTCATTTCCCTCACTACCCTACTAGTGCTTACTGGGACTACCTCCCAAATCAACTACTTGAACCCAAATCCCTTCCTCGGTGTCTGCTTCTATGGAAACTCAACTTTTGCCCAGATCTGCCTTCTCAACAGTTTTGCAACACAGCTTCTTGTTCTTTTCCCCCTGGCCCCCCTATCTTTGAGTTGGTACCTAGGTTTTCTGTGTCAACAACTTGGTCCCCAATACCATATTGCACCCTCACTCTCAAGTTCAGTCCCAGTTAACCTGTAAATAGTGGTATGCTGGTAAATGTTTAATAACTAGCTCTTCAAACAAACAAAAAAATAAGCTCTGAATTGTAGCAGTCTGACTTGTAAGGTGTAAATATTCCCACCACAGCCAATTTCAAGCTACGAATGTGACATCACTGAACACAGAGATGAAGAGAGAGGTATAAAAATAGTTATTGCAAGCTCCTGTGAGCTGGCTCCTGTATACCACTGTCTAGTACTCCCATCCAGAAAGGAGGGTTGTCTCAAGGTTTGGAACGAAATATTGAAGCCAGATTGCTGAGGGCCTTGAAAGCCAGATTATAGAGTTGAGAATTTAATCTGTAGTCAAAGGAAGATTATTACAGTTTTGGAGCTGGGGCAGACAAGAAGACATATGTCATTATTTGCATTAGGTTTTGAAACCATTAACCTGGGGCCATTGTGTGAGAAGTACAGTATGAAGAAAATAGAGGCAAAGAGACAAAGAGGTTATTGTGTGACAAATATAAGGCCTGAACACATATTAGAGCTGTGGAAATAGAAAACAGGAGATGGATGCAAGAGAGATTTAGACATTAGAATTTGCCCATCAGGAAAATTGATTGGATGTTGAGAGAAGGGAGATGAAGAAGCTAATGAGACGCTAGGATTTCACATTTATCCTATTACTGAGAATAAAATTCCAAATAGCCAAATGTTGCTATTGGGGATATAAAGAATGTTAGTTCTCTGACATTTTGAGCTTTTAAGTATCTGTATAAACTTGAAATATTTCTTTGAAATTGCCAGTGTGCTTCCCTAGTGAAATCCAAGCACTGAAGAGGGAATCAATGTGATATAAAGGAAAGAATGATGGGAATGATGTTTGAAGATCAAATGTGACCTCTGGCTCAGTCACTCGCTCATGGTGAATTTGGCTAAGTCATTCAGTACCCTCAGAGTCCTCACCTGTCCTACTAAATAAAACGAGTTATTATAGCACTGTGGGAATTTTAACATGCTAATCAAACATGAGGTATAGTGTCTAAGAGCCCGGGCATAGATAGTTATTATCAAAAAAATACTGCAAATGTGAGATCCATACAAAAAAAAAAGACAGATGGCGATTACTGTAGTGCGAAGTTCTGATTTGTTTCAGTGTTACTAGTTACATAAATAATTTTTATAGCTGGTTGCCTAGAATCTTTAAGATCCTAAGAAGCCACGGCATTTGCATGCAGTACACACTAGTTAAGTCTTCCGAGTTCTGTGGGATTGTTGCTGGTGAGCTATTTTCCACTGGATATGGCCAAAGAAGCTTGTATCCTTGTCTGAGACCAGTAGCCACCCTATGACAATGAGGGGAGGTAGCCTTAGAAGGAAGCTGTGGTTGACTGAGTGGAAGAAGGAAGGAGTCTTAGTCATTTAGGACATCACTGAGTTGCAAAATTAACCAGCCTCATGAGCCTCCCTACCACTTGCCACTTCATTATGTGAAATAGCAA